CAGAGCACAAATATGCAAAAGGTGCCACCACCTTTCCTACACAGGAGCAAGACACACAGACTTTTTTTCTGGTTTTGTTATGTTTCTTTGCAGTTCCTCTAAATCTCTTGTGATTGTTTTGTCTTTTTTGTGTCTGCAATTCCTTTGCATCTTATCTGGTCTTTTTGTGTTTCTGTACGGTCATTTTGTGTCTCTTTGTGGTAATTTTATGTCTTTTTTGGTCTTTGTGTGTCTCTTCATGGTCATTTTATGTCTTTTTTGGAATTTGTGTGTCTCTTCATGGTCATTTTATGTCTTTTTTTGGAATTTGTGTGTCTCTTTGTGGTCATTTTCTGTCTTTTTTTTGGTCTTTGTGTGTCTCTTCATGGTCATTTTGTGTCTTTTTGGTCATTTTGTATCTCTTTGTAGTCATTTTATGTCTTTTTTGGTATATGTGTGTCTCTTTGTGGTCATTTTGTGGTCATTTTGTGTCTTTTTTGGTCTTTGTGGTCATTTTGTGTCTCTTTCTGGTCATTTTGTGTCTTTTTTGGTCTTTTTGTGGTCATTGTGAGTCCCTTGTTGGTCTTTTCGTGTCTCTTTGTGGTCATTTTGTGTGTTTTTGGTCATTTTGTGGTCATTGTGAATCCTTTTTTTGTCTCTTTCTGGTCATTTTGTGTCTTTTTGGTCTTTTTATGTCTCTTTCTGGTCATTTTGTGTCATTTTGTATCTCTTTGCGGCCATTTTATGTCTTTTTGGTCATTTTGTGGTCATTGTGAGTACTTTTTTGGTCTTTTTTTGTCTCTTTCCGGTCATTTTGTGTCTTCTTTTGATCCTTTTGTGGTCATTGTGAGTCCTTTTTTGGTCTTTTTTTGTCTCTTTCTGGTCATTTTGTGTCTTTTTTTGGTCTTTTTGTGTCTCTTTCTGGTCATTTTGTGTCATTTTTTGGTCTTTTTGTGTCTCTTTGTGGTCATTTTTTGGTCATTGTGAGTCCCTTTTTGGTCTTTTTTTTCTCTTTCTGGTCATTTTGTGTCTTTTTTGGTCTTTTTATGTCTCTTTCTGGTCATTTTGTGTCTTTTTTGGTCTTTTAGTGTCTGTGGTAACTTTATGTCTTCTTTTGGTCCTTTTGTGGTCATTGTGAGTCCTTTCTTGGTCTTTTTTTGTCTCTTTCTGGTCATTTTGTGACATTTTTTGGTCTTTTAGTGTCTCTTTGTGGTCACTTTATGTCTTCTTTTGGTCCTGTTGTGGTCATTGTGTGTCCTTTTTTGGTCTTTTTGTGTCACTTTGTGGTCATTTTTTGATATTTTTATGTCTTTTTCTGGTCATTTTGTGTCATTTTTTGGTCTTTTTGTGTTGCTTTGTGGTCATTTTGGTCATATTTTGGTCATTGTGAGTCCTTTTTTGGTCTTTTTTTTGTCTCTTTCTGGTCATTTCGTGTCTTTTTTTGGTCTTTTAGTGTCTCTTTCTGGTCACTTTATGTCTTCTTTTGGTCCTTTTGTGGTCATTGTGTGTCCTTTTTTGGTCTTTTTATGTCTCTTTGTGGTCATTGTTTGTCTTCCTTTGGTTTTGTTGGGTCTCTTTGTGGTGTTTTTGTGGTCATTTTGTGTCTCTTTGTGGTCAATTTGTGTCTTCTGTTGGTCATTTGTATCTTTTTTTGGTCTTTCTGTGTCTCTTCATGGTCATTTGTGTCTTTTTTGGTCTTTTTGTGTCTCTTCATGGTCATTTTGTGTCTCTTTGTTTTGTTTTTTCTGTCTCTGTGTGTTTATTTTAAGTGTCTTTCCAGTTAGTATGTGTTAATTTGAGGGACATTTTGCAGGGGGAAGGGGCGGCCATGACAGTTGGTAGGCCTGTTCAGCAATCCATCCATGGTGCACATTGTTCCCTGAATGATTATTTTTACAACTAGCTGACAAGTGCATATACACACACTTACACACACATCATTGTCTCTGACTGTCTTTTGTCCTACTTTCTCATGAGATAATAATAATAATAATAATAATAATGAGACCGCATCACAATGTAACACTTTCTTAATTTACACTTGCAATGATTCATTTAACTTAGCCTACATAGAATATAATATTCATTTAATATCGTTAGTAACAATTCTCTGTGATAATTCTTGTCATGTCAACATACAGTGACAGGAAACGCAGAGGTGTCACTGAGAGAGAGCTACCCTTTGGTGAGAGGAGATGGGGAAACTTCTTTTCTTTTAGAAACATCTGTTCTCAAGTCTTCTTGAGACTCTTTCAAATCGGGTACCAGTGCTCTTGGGGTGTCCCTTTGCAGCAGGAGGGCTGGGCCTTGACGATGCAGCAGGCCCAGTCCAGGAGGTAATGATTCCTTCTACGTGTAAGCAGCACTGGAACAAGACTTACAATGGGGTTGCCTTCCCTCCCTAGCCTAAACATTAGAGGGGCATTTAAATGAAAGGTTAAGACTACCCTTCTGCAGCTATCTCTTCCCTGTTACCGAGACAAATATGGGTGAGTGGACACGGGGCACTACCTGCTGATAGCCCCCGCTATTTTGGTCTCAGACCAAAGGAGGGCCACTTCACTGGACCCACATGTGTCACTCTCGCTCCTGCTCACCACAGGCATGAGTGGGGAGGCCTCACTGTCAGGGATCAGCCCTTTAGCTGAGTCACCCTATGGCCTAGCCCTGGGGTCTCGGGTTATAAACATTACAAATGCACAAAATGAGGCCTGAGAGAGGCGTATGCCACTTCCCACGCAAAAGCTGTGATCTGTAGAAAAAGACTTGATGGAAGAAACTTTGACCCATGCTTACGAACATTTTGGAGATGGGAAATTGGTGACGCAGATGGTGAGGTGGAAGCCTGATTGTAGAGCTTGTCAAACATTTTTGACGCTCGCCATTTTTGGCTTTTGTCTGTACGTACATTTTTAGTATGAATCCTATGCACTTTTTTTCTAAATGAGATCCCTGCTTCTTGCGGAACTAGAAGGAGTGCCTAAAGGTCCCTAACTCTGGTCCTCCACATCTAGGGGATTGATGTTAAGGGGATTAACCTCTAGCCACCACAGGGAGGGGGGCTTACCATAAGGCTGGGAAGAGGATCAAGCCTGGCCAACAGGCTATGAAAAAAAAGAATCTTCTTCTTCAACAAGATTTTATCTTTTTTATTTAGAACAAAATCAGAAAAAAAAAACAGATGCGTGCCACAGCCCCCAAAAAAATCTGCCTGACGTGTGGCTTCAGCAATGAAAAACCTCAGAGAGAAACCAACAAGTCTGTTTGGCCAATTTAGATGTTCTATATCGTGACTTGCCAGTGTGATGAGTATCTGCCCACATTTCCGCTTGGTGTCTCGAGTAGTCTCGCTTTTTGAGGCAGACAGAATCAGGGGCTCAGGTTTCATCTATTTCTCTGACAACCTTAACAAACACAATGTTAAAGACATGATATTATGTGGATACAATAAAAAGTGATTACATAAGATAACATGTAGAGTATGATAAAAAAAAATGACTATAGAAGATCATATGTGGAGTATAAAAAAAGAATGATTATATATATTGATAAAATAAAACAAATGATTTCATGTGGATAAATTAAAAAGTGTTATAGGTGAGTAACTGAGTACATAAAGTCATTATTAACTGTGGAGTAGCCTATATGAGCATGTTAATTAATGAATAGGCTATATAATATATGTGAGTGCACAAAAGAAAAATGAGTGCAACTGTTGCTAAGTTCAGTACCCATGTTCAATTTCCTGTGGTTTTTCTACCAGCTTTCAGACATCAACACAGACATGGGTGCAAGGTTTAAAAAGGCTCACTTTGCATACAGTAAAGAAATGACAAATGCAATATAATGGGGTGATTACAGACAGACGTTTATCTAAGAGTACAAGTATATCACAATGAGTACATCATACAAAGGATGACTATATATGAGTACCAGAGTATAACCAGACATGAATACAGAGTATATAGGTAATAACTTTCAATAAGCATGATAACCATGAGCATACTAAAGATACCTAAGGATGTGCTAAATAAAGTATATGGAACAAAGTCGATTTAGCTTGGACTGAGTAAATTGAATGGTAAATGGACTGCACTTGTATAGTGCCTTTCACCGATTCACACACACATTCACACACTGGTGGCTGAGACTACTGTGCAGGGTGCCACCTGCTACTCAGTAACCCTTCACACTCATGCACACACCAATGGAGCAGCCATTGGGAGCAATTTGGGGTTCAGTATCTTACCCAAGGATACTGCGACATGCAGACTGAAGGAGGCGGGGATCAAACTGCCGATCTTCAGTGTGGTGAATGACATCTTCTACCTCTGAGCCACAGCCGCCCCATAGTATATAAAAATATCATAGCTTGAGAACATTAATGTAAAAATTAAAAGGAGGCAAAATATTGAATTTATTGAGCACTTTCCCCCCCAACACATTAATACATTCTCACTCTGACCTCATCACATATTTCCACTTCCAGATATAACATGCAAGGTAACCTGGGTGCATTGGTTGTTGGTGTTCTGGGACACCGTGTCAAGTTCTGCCTGTTACATACATTGTCTTCTTTCAAGATACACCTCTGTTTTCACAGGAAATGAATGTTTACATACAGTCTCTTTCAAAATTAACGCACTACGTTGGTACAACACTGCATATTGATGTTTAGGCAACAAAAACACATTTAGGTTTAGGTAACAAAAGGAAGTGGTCCATGTGTCCACCCATCCACCGTGCCGCATTTACCCCTGACACCACCGTTAAACTGCAACAACCGGCTGCGTATCATGCCAATACTGCAGGATGCCTTTTTTTGTTGGTTTCTAATGCTACAAGTCATTGCCCAAGCGCCAGATTTCCATGACTTCGGAATGAGACCGGGCTCTTCCCCCCCCACACAAACTCAGTAAGCAATTTTAGGAATTAGCTGAGATGGTGAGGAGAGCCCAAAAGTTCACATTTAACTCTTTTTGCCACCTTTAACAACAGATAAAAACACAACTTCAACAACACACTGTTTTATACATATTTTTATTCAACACTTAACTCCAAATAAATTTATATCACAGCGGTTAAGCTGAATAGTTAGACATGCTCTTGGTTTTCAAAAATCCATTCAATACAAGATATATTCCTTATAACAGTGATAACTGAAAAAATACAATATGAATGCACAAACAGCTCAGCACTTTACAGTCCGCCACAAAAAACAGTGACAGTATACAGACCAAAATAGAGAATATCATTACGCTTCCATTTCAAACAGATCACTGTAAATTGTTCATTTATATAGAGACACTTAGGTGCTTGAAGTGGTATATTTCCATGTTTGAGTTATTGACATAGCCACACAGTTGACAGATGACATACATATACACACACGCACACACACACACACACACACACACAGTGACATTTACTCACTGTAAATGACAGCTGGTAACTTTCAGGACTGATGTGTAAAAGGCACACGCATACACACACCACACACACACACACACACACACACACACACACACACACTCACACTACACCTCTCTTTCTCTACAACATTTACACATATACTGCTGTACAGACATACGTAACAACACAAACAGAAACACACACACACATACAGACGTTGGTAACAGACTCCATACAGGACCAAAACGAGGCACAACGGGACTTGGCAGAGCGACATGGAATGTTTCGGTCATTGATCACTGATCAATCATCTTTGACTGTGAAGCTTTCGATCAGTTCTCATCGGTGTCGTCCTGAGAGAGAAGAGGGAGAGGTTGGGGTTAATGTGAATGAAACATCACTATCAGCATTACAATATTACATATCAGGAACTGTGTAAAGCAGTTGAGGTAATGTTACAACACCCGTTACAGGGACAGCTCACCCCCAAATCAAAAATACACATCTTTCCTCTTATCTGTAGTGCTATATATCAGTCTAGACTGGTGTGAGTTGTTGCGTGTTAGAGATATCAGCTGTAGAGATGGCTGCCTTCTTTCCAATATAATGGAACTAGATGGCACTCAGCTTGTGTTGCTCAAAGCGCCAAAAAATACATCTGAAAAACTCAACAGCAATGTCTCTTTCCAGAAATCATGACCTGGTTACTCAAGATAATCCACAGACCTTGTTGTGAGCAGTTTCATGTAGGAACTATTTTGTTTCTACTGAACTACACCCACGAACCGTATCACTTCGCAGAAGGAAGTTTCATCTACTGCTAGCTCACCTAGCACCACTGAGCTAGCTAACATTACAGCTCAGCTGAGGAGGGTGCCATTAATGTATACATCTTGCTTTGTCACAAACACAAGCCTCTTGTCCGTGAGTAGATGCACACTCCCTTCTTCTTTTTTGATTTTGGGGTGGACTGTCCCTTGTCATGTTGTCTTTTCTCTTAAAATGGTTTCACCTTAGTAATGATTTTTTTCAGCTTTGGAGGATTATTGAACAGGTTTGCGACTTTGAAATGTAGCTTCCTGTTACTGACTGTAGGTTAGGTCAGCCAGTTGCTGTTGGAGTCTCTTACCTCTGTAACATCAGCAGGGTCAGTATCAATCGGTGACTCTGCCATTTCCTGCTGTGCTGCTGAGGCTTCATCACCCTGGAAAAGACAAAAGGGAAAAGTTTTTTTTTTTACTTTGTGTTACATAGTAAATGTAATTGGTTTTGTTTTGAACAGGTTGTTCTCACACACTGTTCCTTTGTATGCCAACACAAAGTTATGAACCAGAATGTCTATAAAACCCCCAGAATCATGAGCCAGTAATTGATATATAACCGATGTCATTGTGAAGGCAGGGATCGTGTGACCAATACGACGACAGGAGTAAAATAGGAAGTAATATAAAGAGCAAAACTCAGCATAACAAAGCTGGTTGGGCTGGAGGATGGGTCAAACAAACACAGGACTTTCCCCTAGGGGACATCTTTGTTATATGTGCATCTTTGTAAGATATCATAGGAATATTTGTATGAGGATACACTTAACTGTTGCTAGACAATACAAGACATTTGAAGGCATCACCTTGGACTGTGGGAAATGATCACAGACATTTTGCAATATTTTTGCTTACTTTTTTTTTGACAAAATGATGTAAGTTCTAGGGTGTAGGATTCAGTGGCATCAAGCAGTGAGGCTGAAACATTGCAACCAGTGTCTGAAATTAACTTTTCGACTCACCGACCAAGGGGTCTGTTATGTGAAAAACTCTACCAGCTAACAACATTTTTCAACAGCCAAAATAAGAAATTGCATTTTTATCACGTTTATATTTGTTTCAGTACATTTCATTGTGAAAATAAGGTATACAATTTGAACACAAACTTAAAGAAGAGGTCAATCAATGAATCAATCATTTGTCACATTCAATTATATTAAATACAGTTTCCGTAAAATGTCATAGTCATAGTGAATATAAGGTCATAAAATTGGGCAGTCTTAGGCACTGTGTTCATTTAGGATCCTTGTGGACTGAGGGGAGAATAAATAATGCGAAATTACGGTACAGACTCTCTACATTCGTTTGGTTATGACTTTACTATTTTGGTACAAACATTTATCTGCCAGTGTGGTGCATAGGCTTCTGGGATTTATTCGCCCAACAGGAAATCTACCCACAAACAGCTCATTCTAAGGTAACAAAAAACTTAATGATTCTTATTTAAAAGTGATTATAAACTGATGTAAATATTCTGTCAATAGATGCCCCTTCTCCCAACACTCTAGACCTCTAATAGAGAAAATACTCAGCAGATTAATCAATAATGCAGACAATCATTAGTTGCAACATCTGGGTGCACTTACTATCATTATGTCATAATCTGTGCAATATTATATAACACAGAATGTAAACACCCCACTGAAACCCTCCCCCTACTCGTGCTTTGTCCATTTATACATTAAAAGGCACTTGCAATCATCTCCTAACCATCATTGTGACTGGTGGTCATTCCGAGTGAGTGGGCTGCTGAGAAAGAGACAAGGCATGAAGTGCTAATGAAGAAGGCGGGGTGGGGGTGTGTGACGCTTCTCCTGTCTGGCTGAAAGGATGCCTTGATTACACTGTGCCATTGAACTGACCTTCCTTAATGGGGTGCGGTCACAGTGTGCTGACGTGTGCATGTGTATGTGTGTGTGTGACGCGCTCACCGGCAGCTGACATAACCTTAACCCACTTTTTGCACCTTGTCCTCCTGCTGTTGCATTTAACACCACCCATCAAGCCTCCATCTGTTCTCCCAGCAGAGCCGGAGAGATGTGTGCTCATGTGAACACACACAAACACATAGTTGGACTGCCAATAAACATCAACCTGTTTTTTTTACTGTGGTCAGATTAAACTTTAGCCAAAAGTTAAAGATTTGTTCACTTGTCAGGACAAATCAAACCCGAAATATCTGTGTGAACCATCTCCCAAAGCAAAACCAAGGCAACACCTCACCTACAATCTGTATTGTTTCATGCAGAAATTACTTCTCAGAGACGTGAAATACAGGAGCCTGTTTTATTGCATGTCGCTAAAAAGATCCGAGCAATAAGACTTGTTTGCTGAAATCATTTTCTATTTCCTGTCGTGCGTCCTCCACAGCTTCCAACCGCACATCCTACCACTCTGTCTCATTGTCAGTTTCCTCTCCTTCTACCTTTCTGGCTTTGTTGTCTCCTGATATGAGTCACCAGCAGCAGCTGATGAATTGGTCAAACAACGAGATGAGGAGATTAATCAGACTCCCACCATCCTCTTTTCGTGTGTCTTTGTGTGTGTGTGCACATGAGACAATCTTTGATGACACTCTCTCAACTTGGCATCAATTTTTAAATGAAATCAATATGAATGTTTAATGGCTGAGCCGCCTGGGAATGATTGTTAAATGAGCACAGTCTGCTGCTGTCTGCATGTCAGTCTCTCACTGGGAATACCAGGATTTCTCCACATATATTGATTTAAATCTATCTGTTTATTCCTCTGTCAGTCACTCCATCATCTCTCCATCCGTCAGTCCACTCTGTGTCTGTTTGTCCATCTGTTTGTCTGTGCTGCCTGCCAGTTTGGCTCGTTGGGGCTCCTCATAAAGAGGCTGATCACATACCAGGTGGAGCTCCATCAGTGTTCTATCCCTCAGGGTGAATATAAGCTATCTAGCTGCCTTAAAAACACAACTGCTAACGAGGATAAAAAGACTCTATTGGATGTTTGTGGGGAAATACCGCGAGCGTCTTTTGATTATAAAAACAACTCTGGTAAATGCCAGCATGGAAGGATGAAAGCAGCAGGGGCGAAAAATAATTTAATTGCTTTAATAAAAGAACTGCTTGTTCAGGTGTCAGTTGACGCCACTGGCAGAAAAATAACTTGATAATTTCTTTGCTATCTCATCGTTTTACATGGTACTTTTCACTAATCACAGCTAATCACAGCAGAGCTAAAGAAGTGTGTGTTCATATGTGTGTGTGTGTGTATGTGTGTGTGCTGTTATCTCTTGGAGTCTAAATTGTGTTTCATCGCTAATTAGGGGACAGGAGATCGAGCATCACAACAAACAAGTGTTGGCGTTGCCCGGGGAAATATTTGATTGGCTTATAATTTCCTGCTACTCACAGCGATGTTAGGAGAGAGGAGGGTAATTACAAGCAAATGTAGTCATCCCTTCAGAATTACATCCAATTTTGCCACCTTATTAATCCAGATATAAACCACGGGGAAGTGTAACTGCTATGGTTTGACAACTAAAGAAGACCAGAGGTAACAAAACAGCAGAGCAGGAACAGGAGGGCCATCTGTTCCTCCTGTAGAGTTTGTCTTGTTTGAGTTTCTGTGCTAATAAAAATCTACAGCCAGGTTTTACCTGTGTTTGCCCATATGCAACCAATACAACTGACCCACAGGCGTCCCACCCTACTGCCCAACTTGATCCCACATATCCTCTCTTACCCATATCGTTTGACCAAGTGGGCCCCATATATATTTCCCCTTTTTACACCCATACACTGATTACCTCTTCACGCACTATCTTGGACCCATGTAATCACCATATATGGGATTGATTGTGTGTGCGCATGTCTATCCCACTTGGTATACCCAATGGGCCCCATTCATGTTGCCCATCCTGAGCCTGTGCACTCATTTCCCATTAGGGCCCCAGCTAGGACCCACATGTGGTACCCATTTGGGATCTACTCATATTACCCAAGTGGGCCCAAGATAAGATGCCCATTTTGGGCCCATACCCACTTGGTACCCAGGTAGCCCCAGCATAATCCATGTGGGGCCCACAAACATATGCTGGCTGGGTGGGAGCTGGTGTCAAGTAAAAGTGAAAACTGAGAGATTTAGGTTGGGGATCTTGTGCACGCTGAAGATCCAGCACCAAGGTTTTTATTTTTTATTTTACATTCAGTATGTATGTGTATTCTTGGGGTCCATGTTTAGACCATGTTTACTTTTCTTTTTGGTGAAGTGATACCATTTGTTCTGAATTTCCATTTGGCATTTTCGGCTTTATTCGATAAATAGACAATGAGACAGGGGATGACACTCAGCAAAGGGCCCAGGCCAGACTCAAACCTAAGCTACTGTTGGTAGTTCTGCTTTATAGTACATGCTCTACCCAGTTAGCTCCCTGGATGTCCGTTCCAGCAACTAACTGTTGATCAGTGTGCTATTGTTAAATGACAAAAGTTTGCATTATGTACTTGAGCGTGTGCATGAGTTACAAAACAGGAACACACAATGCTCCATAGTGCTACTAGTGGTCCATATCTTTGAAAGGTACCTAAAGTGCAGTGCGATTGTATGAGATAACACTGGAATGACTGCATTTACAGTTAAAAACATGTCTCAGAGACTGTTAAATGTAAATGCAAGGGTGTACGTTTCACTTCAACAATGGGTTGACACCTATAGAAACAGGGTCTGGGAGTCCTCTGCCAGAATTTGAACACTTAATTCCCTACATTTTGTTGAATTTTTTATGCACCAATTTGTGCCTCTTCTGCATCACTTCATTGTGTAAATGTCTTTATTTTCTTTTTAAATTTTGTCAAAATAAAAGTCCCCTGCTACTTTTATGCACATGTTCTAAATACTGAGGGAGGCGTGACCCTGCATCATGTTTTGTTCTGCATTAATTTAGTTAAATATTCAATCATATTTTTGGAAATAAACAGGATTGTAATGGATAAATACCAGCTCCTATATTTATTAACAGCAATTCTATTCGAGTGTGTCCGAAATGGTGGCTACAGCCCTGACTGTATCAAAAATCTACATGAACAGCTATCAAAATCCTTGCCAGAGAGGAGAGAGCCAAAAGAACCCACTGGAGAGGGGAGACGAAAGTCATTCTTCATATTTGACTTGTGTCGCGACAGTAAATTGTTTGCTACAGTTAACTGCCTTTACCGCCTCCTCCTTCTACTCCTCTGGACAAACGATGGCCAGACTGACAAAATGAACAATGCAGGTAAGCTAACAATACGTAACGGCTTTCATTTCAGAGAAGAAAGACTCACAACAGATATGAGAAGTGATGACAAATGGCTCAAGGTCAGGAGGCCATTTTGACACAGTGAGGAGTTACAGCTGGCAGGCACTGTCATGAAATGGAGGGATGTGTTGTGCTGCAAACTACAGTTTCTAAAGGTGTAAAATTGCACTAAAATTTGAATTATTCTCACTTTTTATTTAGGGAAATACAATTTTTGCATATTTCAGAAGATGGTAAAACTGTTTTTTAAAAACTATTTAATTTCCAAACCTCTGGGTGGGTGTTTCTAGTGGCAGGGGTTGACTGATATATAAAGGCCAACGTTGCTCGGAGGCATGCAGTCAAATGACGTGCTGTGCTGCTGACTATAACACTTTACAGTCCATTAAAACACACCCTATGTACCATTAGCAATTCAAATATGTCTGTCTCTTTACAACACCCAACATTTGAAAAGAGGAAGTCAGAAGGCTAAGGCTACCTAGGTTTTACTTACATTTTAGGAGGGGGTAGTGACAGTAAATGACCAGACTATCAAAACATCATCCCGTAATATAATTCACAACTTGGAGTGGATCTGCCTGTCTTATGTATGAAGTGCTCACATCACACAAGCAACATCTAAGAACTTCAGCCCTATAGTTGGTTAGCTGCCCATCTGGCTGTTGGAATTTGATTTTATAGATAATTCTTGATGTTATATATAATTCTTGGTGTCCGCCCACAATGATATTTCATCAGTCACGTTACAGTCTGACCCGAAAATTCACACCCACTGGAGGACACCTCTGTAGGTGTTACGTGCCGCCACCACGGAATGCGGTGTTAAAAGGTCGTGGTCATTTCACGTATTTCTGTGAGATCGGGTTGATTTCGAGCCACAGGGGATTTTCTCACTGCAATACCATGAGTGGTCACTGGAAAAAATTAGCTGCAAGGCTGAGCGTCTTTTCTGGGGCCTGTTTGCAACAGACAGTAAGGCTTCCTATTTTTAGCTGAGCCAATTGCCAGAAACACCTTTTGCTCTAAAGTTTTGCTATGTGATTTGGTTGAGAACATGTGGCACCTACTGACTGGTTAAGAGAAGTGAGGAATTATCAGTCAATGATGGTATAGAACAGTTATGAGCAGTTACGAATCACCATGACTGTGAGAGATCCTTGAGTATACAGTCATAAATGTGCACACAAAATATTAGGCTGATTGGTCCAGTAGTATGCATGATAAGCTGAGGACAGATACATACATTCACATATTTACACACTCACACACACACACACACACACACACACACAACAAAATGCATAACTCCCCAGGCTTGATGGAGACAATGATACCTATACTGATTTAAAAAAAGATTTTTTCGTACTTGTTTGGCTGGGGCCCTCTTGACCAATCCGGTGGCAACAGCAATGTTGCCTGCTTGATCCACAGTTTTGTGGGCCACAGCGGTAACCCCGGTAACCACGGCTTCACCCACTTGAGACACTCCAGTCACAGCTGTAGAGACAAATGAAGAAGAAGAAGAAGAAGAAGCATTTGAGGAGGGTGTAGCTCTATAGAGTCTCAATACCTGTGAGGATAAGCATGCTGGAAAATAAACATGACACAGATCTCACAATACTGGATTTCAAAGCTTAATTGTAGTTTGTAATTTGAGTCTACCTACCACCTGCCCTTTAATCTGCAGTGGTAAAATAGAAATTAGTATGACTATGATTACCTACTTTTACTTTTATGTAACTTTGTTTAACCTGATGAAGGTGATAAAGTCATCAAACATATAGGCAGTTCTACACACATCTAATGCCAGTCCAACACTTGGTGATCACAGTCCAACAAATAAACAGACGCATGAAGGTGAGGATTGTCACATACTAAAATAATCAGCTTGTTTCACTGCCACAATACCCCTAAACATATTAAATGTTATACCTTTATTTGTGTGAGAAAGATTTTGATACTTCTTTGAAAGGTTACATTACAATCTCATTTATATCTCGCACTTCTTGAATATAGCATATTGTAGCTTTGAGATAAACCTGAATGAAAGATCTTAAATGTGGTGAAAGCTTCTTTCTGCATCGAAATGAAAAGTAAAAGTAAAGAAGTCATTACTGTAATACTCTAATGCATCTACCTGGAACACCCTGCAGAGTAATTTAAAACTGGATCAGCAGCTGTAGTGTGGGTTAAATGAGAAACCTCAGGAACAGCGTGGCGGCATTCTTCCTTTAATAGACTACACCTAGTTTCATCCCACCTTTTACTGTTTTAACAATGTATTGCTGGGTAATGTTGGATTTTGCATATCGGTGCATCTGATCTTACATGTGCATTGTGTGATTTTTATGTAAACTGTTTAGGGAAGTGAATTGTAAATGAGAATTTTAAAACCAGTGAGTTTTCATTCTTGAGCTAAGGCTTAAAAATATCTATGTCGATATAATCAGGTATGTAAATAATGCATCTGCAGATCCATTTAAAACAAGTGCTGGATTGAGGGTCACTAAGAGCTAAATACTGTGTTTACACCAGAGGTGCACACCCTAGGGATCAGGGCCTTCGTAAGGGCACACATGTTGAATTCAAAAGGATGCGAGATTATTAGCAGGACAGTACAGCAGACATAAATATAACACATTACATTTTTATCTACGTTCTGTGGAACTAGTCACTTAAAACCTTTAACACAGGGTCACACGTCATAAAGGCTGCTGCACTGTATGCTGATCGTGTTACACATGATAATTCATCACAACTAAGCTGCACTTTGCTATAAGGCATCATATGTGGACCTCCTGAAAGCAGATTATTAGATCATAGGTCTAATGGCTGCTTGGGAGGGGGAAAAAAATCCTCCTTCCTCCTTCATTAAGTGGCTTTAATAAGACGCTCTGTCTAATCCCAGTTTCCAAAACACTCACTTTACTCGCAGCTATGATGCAACAACACAGCCATTTCCCTGGATGCATATGACAGGAAGTCTCCCTTGGCTTCTCTGCTTGTTATGTATGAGAAATGGCAAGGCCTGGCCCGCAGGGAGTACAGCAGGTTGTGCTGAGTAAATATGGCACTTACTAACCTGCATCTCTCTAACTGACCACCTGAGGATTCAATGAGATTAGCCCATTGCTTTTATGTCAAAGGTTGTGTAAAAAAAAGGGGCTGGATTTATAACGTGTAAATTTATACAATATTGATTTTTTTTTTCAGACTAACAAGAGAATGGAACAAACACAGTGAAGCTTGAATTGACTGTATTACCTGTTGTGACTCCATCCTTTGTTTTGTTACCTGAAAGAAAAAGCAGGTGAAGCTCAGTTAGTCAAAAACACGAATAGTAGCAGTTGTAATAAAAATACTAGTAGTAATGATAATGAATAATGAAAGCTGTCTGTCCAATTTTTCTCGTGACATCATCATCAATCAAATCAATTCCCAGCACCCACCGACAAACAGAACCCCATCTTTCGTCATCTCAGCTGCTCCAGTCACTCCCTGCTTGGTTTTCTCAGCCGCCAACGAGACCCCATCCTTGGCTTTGGAGAAACCCTTCTTAAACATGTCCATGGCTGCTTGATTGGCTCACAGATTACCACGCACACACAGCTGTAAGGATGTCAAAAACAGGCGCAATGATGAGACTCCCGGATTGAAGCGCTCAGTAATAAAACGCATGACACAAAGACACACAAAAACGATGCCGCCGCCCTACTTTTCTCTCTGAAAGGTTTTTGTCAAAGCAATATCACCGTCTGAAATATCTGAGCAGTTGATAGAAGAAGCAATGATTTGAGGCTGCTGAAAATCCCACCTGTAGGAACTGGTCACAGCCTAACTGAGAAACCATGAATGGATTTATTAAATAAAAAAAGGGAAAGCGACCTATTATAATGCTATGCCATAGGGGAAATAAAACAATACTGCAGGTGAGATTTCTAAAAAAAAAAAAGGTTTTTAAATTATTTGCAGGAGAAAAAGACCAAAAAGCAAAAGAGCCGTGTTTTACGCACCTGTTCGCTTCAACTTCCTTTACGCCGAGAATGTGGCGAGTCTTCCGGGATGACAGTCGAGATTTCCCCCTAAGAGCAGTAAAACCGGTTTATTGTCTCCCAACTACAACTACTCTAAGAGACGACGTGTGTAGTAGTGTCCTCCCAACAGACAGACGGACACAGACAGAGAGACAGACAGACGCTCCACAGGTTTGACAGACGCCTCCTACGCCTCGGTGACGGAGAAAGAGCGATTAGACCCCGTGATGCTGATGCGAGAGAAGAGATGCTCCGCTGTCTGTCCGTCCGTCCGTCTCTAACACACACACACACACACACACACACACACACACACACACACACAAAGATTACGTAGCTCTTTTCTGCTCTACGTGGGTTGCCCACAGCGTGTAGGTGCTGTAGGCTTTTTTAAAAACCAGTCGGCTGAATGCATCTGCGGCCCAACTATCAATTAGTGACAGTAGGTTGTAATTATGCAAGATCACACTACTGGGCTACTCACTGTTCCCACATGTGAGTAAGATGTTAACTACAGCTGCACACAGGGTCCCTGGGGAATCTTTTGCATTGTAAATTAAAAGCCCATGTTGGAATTGGCTGACTGCATAAACCAGACTGTGTATACAATCATTTAAGTCACCTGGAGTTGTTCTGTTTATATATTTATGTTTTTTATTCTCAAAAAAACAACAGACTAAAATTTTATGTTCATATAGTTGCAACACCTTATGAAGAGTGTATGGTTTAGTGACACAGAAATAATTTATGCTTTAAAGATCAGTTATACAGCATTAGTAACAACAAATTTTGCGGTTGCAAGATTGTGAAAAGTCCCTTTACAGATCCAGTGTGTCCAACAAACACCAACTTTCACCCAAGAGAGCTGTGTTTGTGTCCCGTAAGATTCTAAAGCAAAATTCTGATCTTTTTTCCTAAACCTAACCATGTACTTTTGTTGCCTAAATCCAACCATGTGTGTTTGTTGTTGAAGGAAAAAACGTCAATCACAGTGGTGTATCCATGTAGTGCGTTTATTTTGAAAGAGACTGTATGTAAATGTTAAAATTTCCTGTGAAAACGGAAGTGTGTTTTGAAAGAAGACAATGCATTAGACAGGCAAAACTTGACCAACACCCCCAGGGTACCTTGCACGTTGTATGTAAATGTGAAAAATCCATGACCAAACGTCAATATGTGACGAGGTCAGAATGAAAATGTGTTGGAGATTTAGTGGCATGTAATGCAATGCAGATTGTAACCAGCTGAAACTTATTCCAGGTAGGATTCTTCAGTGTCCATGGTTCAGGAGGTTTTTACCAGGAGCCAAATTATTTGCAGAGGTCTCTTTCTCACAACACAAACAGACCCAGTGATTTAAACCTGTAAGAACATTAACTAAAGCATAGGCTATTCCTGTTAAAAATCGGTGTTTTTCTGACACAGCTCTTTGTGAAGAAGTTACTAACTATGGTGGTGGACATCCATCCATCCATCCATCCATCCATCCATCCATCCATCCATCCATTTTTCGTAAGCGCTTATCCTCTGGAGGGTTGCGGGAGGGCTGGAGCCTATCCCAGCTGACACTGGACGAGAGGTAGGGTACATCCTGGACAGGTCACCAGATTATCACAGGGCTGACACATAGAGACAGACAACCATTCACGCTCATGGGGCGTTGGTGGCTTAGTGGTAGAGCAGGCGCCCCACGTACAAGGCTATTGTTGCAGCGGCCTGGGTTCGACTCTAGCCTGCGGCCCGTTGCTGCATGTCACTCCCTCTCTCTCGCCCCCTTTCTTGCTTGTCTGTCCTATCCATTAAAGGCTAAAATTGTCCCAAAAAATATCTAAAAAACCCCACAAAAAACATTCACGCTCACATTCACTACTACGGACAATTTAGAGTTACCAATTAACCTATCCCCAGCCTACATGTCTTTGGACTGGGGGAGGAAGCCAGAGTACCCTGAGAGAACCCACGCTGACACGGGGAGAACATGCAAACTCCACACAGAAGGGCTCCCTCCTAGGATCGAACCAGGAACCCTCTTGCTGTGAGGCGACAGTGCTAACCACCACAACAGTGGTGGACACATAAACACAAAACTGCAAAAACACAAATTTCCCCATCTAGAGCCAGTGTTTGGTTTGTCCATTCTTGGCTACTATAGAAACATGGCGGTGCAGCATGGTGGTCTCTGTAGACGAGGAGCGCTCCCTATGTAGATGTACTGTAAAACTTCATTTAAAAGCCTAGTTCCATTAAATGCCCAGTCTCTTTTATTAGTCCAGTGTAGCTACACAAATAAAGGTCTGTCTCAATTAGAGTTGCCAGGCAATTCATTTTTATAGAAGTTCTTTAATTGATTACCCGATAAATTATTTATATTCCCTTAGTCCCTAAGGGTCCACTAATCAAAAGAAATAAAGGTGTTTTACATAAAAATTAATAGAAGTTATGAGTATTGTTTTATCAGGATAAAGTGTTGATGTGTTGGTATGCCAGGTGTCATAAAACAAGTGTCATAACATAACACATAATTGTTATTTGAGTTATCTGAAGCCTGATTTTTATATTCATACTGGTTCAAACAGATATTTTGATTGTATATCCCTTTTTTGCTGAGCAGCAGTTTTGTTTAAAAGGAATTAAAGGCCTGTCCCATATACGCACCTGTCCCTGATGTATGCCTGTTGAGTTCAGGAATTTAAGGAAATAATAGCCCAGGCTACTTCAAGTTTTACAGTTAATAGCTAATTCTGAGATCATGAAAACACAACAATTCTTATTTTAGGTATTAGGTGATTGTACACTTAGGAAAACATATGTCTGCCAATATATCCCCTTAAATCCTTCACACTGAACTCTTAAGTATCCACTTATTTCTAAATAAAAGATTGCAGACAACCTAAGCCATTTATCAACAACTTATTAACACTTACAACTGCAGATTTGATGATTAAAAGCCTTTATTAATGACTTATCTCCCATTTATAAATGCAGACTTGCAGTCATATTAAAGAGTGAGAAACATCTGAGCATTTATTAATGGGTTACAAACATTTATATCTTCATTCTTATCAAAAAGTAAGGATAAACATAACCTGACAACCACGAAGCTGTTCTTGGCTTATAGAAATGTATAATACATGATATAGGCTACATGTACTTTCTAAGAAGCAATCAAGGCAGCTGTTATGAATGCTAATACGTCTTTGATAATGTTTTAATTACCAAGTTGGCAGTTGAGAGTGTTAATAAGTTCTTAATTTATGAATTTTGATTGTCTGCAGCCCTTTTTCAGTTAGTTAAAATGACAACCTAGCAACAGCCCCATTAGTAAATTACTATTTATGAGCTATCAAGTTTACACTTTTATAAACCCATGAACATTTATTAATGGATTACCAACATTTGTAACTATATTGTTACCAAAAATAAAAATAAAGACCTGCCAGTGGGATTTTTCACCATCTGACAACATCAAATTTGTTCTTATTGATGGCTTACAACTAATCTATAAAGCATTAGCAAATTATTTATGAACCATTAATAAAACTATTAGTTACAGCTTAGAAATAAGGGGTGCCTCATTAGAAAGTGGCACCCATAGGACAGGACACAACGGTAAAATTGTACTGGCTACAAATACTGTTGTTTACTTTCTTTGATGGGGTGATACATGAGTCAAGCTCAGATAATTGTTTCCTTTCTTGTGACCTTTTCTTCTTGGTCATCCATGTCTTTTTCTTTTTTTACTGTCTCCCCACTATATGTTCAACAGTTCCTGTCTATTCAAGGTAATTTGGTTGTCAGTGGTGCGTAACAGGACTCTAACCATATGTAAACAGCAGTAATGTAACAAAGCGCACATTTATGGAAATTCATCAACAGTGGAGGTGAAACAATGTGCAAGGCAAATTCATTTGTATGGCAAATGTCATACACATTCAAAGTGCTTTGCATAATGCAGTAAAAACATACGGACAATAACACAGCATAAAGTATTTTAGCAATTGGTCCTCAGACAAATCAGAGCCATGTTCAAAATTTGTATAATTTAAATACAAAATAGGTGAATGAATAGCAAGGAAATATACAAATACGCTGGAAAACATCCACTTCTTCCTCCTCCAACTATATCATGATACATTATATTTTCCTTTTACATGCCTCTAACAGCCTTTATCAATAATGTATCACTGTATCCATTCATTTTAAATGTAAATATCAGTGTCAAACATCTGCAATGTATGTACAAAGTCTCTACTTCACATTATATGTTTCAACTATGCAATAAAAATAAAATTTAAATATGCTATTTTTGATATTTCTGGAAGGTGGGGAACATAAAAGTGTTGCTCTTGCTTTTAAAGCATATAATTTCAGATCACTTGTTGAAAACATGGTTCTGAATCTTATAACATAACACTAGGTCTGTTGTGGTTTACACAGAAGAAAATGTAATGACAACGTGAGCAGAACCTTCGTGATTAAATTTACCAGAAAACCACAGAAGATGAAGTGTGGGCAGAGAAGTAGTGCTGATGTGAGAAAGAAGGAAACAGACCAGACAACACATTTCCTGTACAGAGTTATAGATATACAAAACACTATTTAAGTACAGTACAAAAGGGTTGAGCTTATACAAGAGAAGCTGTAATCACAGCCTTGCTCTGACCACCGCCGAGAATGACTGCAGCACTTTAGCAGACTGCCAGTACAATGAGTTTGTTATGACAGGGAGAGACACAACACTCACTTTTCACCAAACTCCAATTCAAATATACTTTATTCAGTTTATACACTGGTTAGTTACTCTATTCTGGACTGAAACCTCAACACATACCATCCAGTGACTATCCAGGAGTCACTCGTTTTACATCCACCGCTGAAGTTTATACATTTCTCATTTCCCACAGGATCTGTGCACGGTAAATAAACTATGGCTTAAGTATGATTATGTTCAGACAGTTCCAAGGATACTGGGCTGGAGGAGCAGGCCTTGGAGAGGGACATTATTGTGAAGCCATGCATTCACAGTCTGAGTTGATTTCAAATGCTGGGTGGTGCCACAGGTTCCAGTTTCATCATTGCAAGGGTGTATAGTTACAAAGTTTTGAAAGGAAATGTGCTGTATTTAAAGAAGAAGAAGAAGAAGAAGAAGAAGAAGAAGAAGAAGAAGAAGTAGAAGAAGGAGAAGAAGAAGATCTACTTTATTAATCCCCAAGGGGAAAATCAATTTTTCACTCTGTTGTCATATATACACACAGGTCCAAAAT